TCTAGGGTTAATGCAAGAGAAACAGGAGTTGAATTCTGAATTGCTGAGTATGAGGAAGGAACTGAGACAATGTAAGCAGCATGTTTATACACAATGTAAGAATGAAACACTCATAATTCACATTTTTATACACAAAAAAACACCAAAACAGAGAAATAAACAACCATCACTTTTAGAATTTAACACAAAACAACAAAGAAAAGGAATATACCTTCTTTTGAGTAAAGTTTGGCGTACTTGCAGGAGTTACACTCAGTTTTAGTTGGCCACATTAATGAAGACACACGAATGAAAGAGGATATCTGTTTTAGGGTTTTGAAGAAAGATGATGAAGATGGTCTTTTAGCTTCTTTGGGAATCTTTATATAGAAGGAAATGAGTGGTGGAAAGGCAATTGGCTTTTGCGTTCGCACGCCAAACGAAGCTAATGATAGCCTTTTGTTTTACCAATGCATGTAGCTGACAAATTTTTTTTAAAAAAAAAGTAAATTTCGAATGGAAAAATGGAAACTAAAAATCCAACCTTTTGGCGGTCTGAAAAAAAAAAAATTCAACCTTCAATTAATCTCATAAAAATCCAACCTTTATACCCCGCCTTCTCCCACAGATCCATTTGACCTTGAACCTGTTAACCAGGTTAATTTTTTTTCTTCTTTTTTTCTTTCTCCTTCCTCCTTCATCCTTCCTTTCTCTTTCCTTCTCCTCCATATTTTCCGGTCACCGACCACAACCACCCAACCACGACCACCCCAATCACGACCACTGATGAGTTATATTTATATAGAGTTTATAGGCACGTTTATGCTAGTTTTATAATTGTTTTTCGAGTCTTCTGTCGCTTTTTAGGTCGCAATTGCATAAGTTGTCCATTTTATGCTCTATTATGCTTCGTTTGTGTTTTCTTAATGTTTAAGGTAATTTCCATAACTATTTAGACGCTTTCGGAGTGGTTTTGGAAGAATCGGACAATGAAAGGATGAAAAGTTGATGAATCGATGTCGCTCAATGAAGGATATGCATTTGTGGAAACTTAGTATGAGATTAATATGTATGAGAAATGAAAATAGCATCCACAAGGGTCGTTATGCACTTTACGGAAATGAATTTGAGTTAGAAACGAAGAAAAACGAAGGTTTGCAAAGTAACAAAAATGATATTTACTCACTCTTTTGACCATAACTCGAGTTTTACAGATCGGATTGAAGGGATTCAAGTTGAATTGGAAACTAGACTTGAAGAGCTTTCCACTGATAGGTCACACGCCCCGATAAGCTTCTTAGAACAGAAGTTATGAGCATTTGAATCCAGACGTTGCAGTCAGCCACCCGCGGGATCTTGCTGCGGGTCTGTCCCGCGCCCACTCGAAGGCTGCTGCCGCCACTGCCAGGGCGCGGGAACCACCCTGCGGCCGCGGGTTCTGACGAGCAGCCAAAGCAGCCACGTGTAGCTCGTGTTCTCGACTTTTCTTGCGGTTTTATGCCACGTCATCTTCTATCATCCAATAATAATTCAACTTATGTATTTATTATTTTCTTATTAATTTTCTTTAATTATTTTTTTAGATTAGTTTTAGGATAATATAAATACTCAAGGGATATTATTTTTCCCTTATGCCTTTTTATACTTTTTGTTATTTTACGTTCTTTTGAGTTTTCTCTTGAACGCTAGTTTCTCATGGCATCTCCATGGATTCTTCCATGGATGATTCTTGGGTTTATTATTTCAATTCATTGAGGTATTTTATTAATATCTCTTATGTTTAATTATGTTTTATTCCTTATATCTAGTTTTAATTATTTCTTCCATGTTTGAGTAGTTTATTTCTAGGGTTTGGGAATCCATGTTTATATTATGAATCTTGATTGATGTTTTTAATATTTTGATTATTAATTTCTTTAATTGATAGTGTTTTATTGTTAATCTTGCAACCTGATCAATTGCTTGATTAATTTTTGTTAATAAGAGTTCGAATCGAAAGATCTTACTTTTAGAGGCTTACCTACAATTAACAATTCTGATTATATTAGCGACCGAACTACATATGTTGAATTGAGAGCGTTAATAACCACGACCACCCAGATTCCACACCCTAACCCTCCCCCCCCCCCCCCCTAAAAATTCGAGTCACCCTAACTGTTAGCTGAGACAAACACTACAAGAGGGGGGGTGAATTGTAGGTGAGTTCCTAGTGACTACTTTTTGAATATAAAACAGAATAAAATAGGAATTTCAATGCACACAGGATTTTACGAGGAAACCTTCTAGTGCCCAACTAGAAGTAAAACCTCGACCCTACCTTAGGGATTTCGAACACAAACAATTTCACTATAATAGGGCAAACACCAAGTTACAACCTATTATAATCAAACCTCTACTCACAAGTAGGGGTGTACAAAAACTGGCCCGGACCTGAAAATCGACCTGAACCGGACCTATTGGGACCGGACCTAATTCGGACCTGTAGATTCAGGTTCGGTCCCGGTCCTTGAAATTCAAGGATTCCGGGTTTCAGGTCCGGTCCGGGTAAAACCCGGAAATTTCAGGTCCGGACCTGAAACCGGTAAAACTACTCTTTTTTATTTAATAAGTTTAAATAGGTCCTTAAACAGGTCCAAACAGGTCCAATCAGGTCCAAACAGGTCCATAATAGGTCTAAACAGGTCCAAACAGGTCTAAACAGGTCAACACTTTCATATTATTTAAAAAAAATAAAAAAAAAAAACTAATCAGGTCTATTCAGGTCTAAACCCGGACCGGACCTGATTTTTCAGGTCTGGACCGGAACCGGACCTGTTGATTCAGGTCCGGTTTCCGGTCCTTAAAAATCAAGAATTCAGGTCCCGGTCCGGTTTTGGACCGGTGTACAGCCCTACTCACAAGTTCCTGAACAAACTTGCTACAGAATAGGACTCTATTCTACCCAGTCTAAGTCTCACACTTAGACTCTCCCTCGTACTCCCTAAGTACAGGCTTTCCAACTTCTCAACAGAAGCTCTCTCTCTGTATGCAATGATAACAAAATCACTCACACCCAAATAACCCAAACCAATTACAAGTACAAACACCTAGTATATGATAGGCAAGCTATGCATGAAACCCGAAACTAATATGACAAGATGATAAGCTTGGCAAACTTACACAATTATAGCTCTGTAAATTCTTCACGCATAAACTCACAAAAACCTAAACTCATTTTCTTCTCTACTATTTATACAAGTATTACTTGTATAGAAAGTAGGTTTTCTTAAAGATAAATAAGTTAAACTTAACTTATCTTTTCACACGGTTTTTATGTAAATCATTAGAAGAAAATCTTTTCCAAAAAAAATAAGATAGAAAGATTGAGTTAAAAAGCATAATATCTTTTTAACAAACTGATTTTAAGAATTAATAATTTAAAGAAAATCTTTTTCGAATTCTATCTTTTATCTTTTCCGATTTTAATTTATTTTCCAAGCTAACTTGCTACGCTTCCAATAGACTTCATGCATATCCTACTTAACATATTTAACAATGAATCTAGGAGATAAAATCTTAACTAAGACATTGCTGCGTTGTGCTCTTGTACTGGTAGGATTACTTGCGCTCCACGCTTACTAAGATCCACCAAAGATCTTAGCCAGCCATCTTCAAGTTCCTGTGAAGGAACGTTCCTGTTAGGGAACTCAGTTCCTGTGAGGGAACTCTTCTTCTGTTTCGAATAACCTTCTTAAATAAAGAACTTCTTCAAGTCTTCTTAGTTTCAGTTACTTCTTCCATCTCCAAGATCAATTTCACCTAAACTAAACAAACACTTGAAAAACCTTTATTAAATGAGTTTGCTGTAGTTTAAATTCCTCATCATCAAAACCTTTAAACATCAACACTAACCGTCCCCCACGAAAACCGACACCCCAAGCCCCTCTCCCATGAAAACCGACCACCTTAACCCCCTCTCCCAAGAAAACTGACCACCCTAATTCCCAAATCGACCACCCTAACCCCCTCCTTTTAAAAATTCGACCACCCTAACCCCCAAATCGACCACCTTAACCCCCTCCCTTACAAAATCTCTGCCACCACCACTTACCCCACCCCACCCAACCCATACCCAGTACCGAAACCACCAACCCCACCTTGCGTTTTCAGGACCACCCTATCCCCCTCCGATCCCCTACAAAATCTCTGTCGTCGATTGGGGTTTGATAGGGGCTAGATTGCGCACAGGGGAGGGATAGGGAGGGAGAGGAGGTTTGCGCACAGGGGAGGGAGAAAGGGAGGTTGCGCTGCACAGGGGAGGGGGGAGAGGGAGTGGTGGAAGGGGAAGGTGGTAGTGGTGGCAGGGGAATTGGGTGGTTAGGTAAGGTGGGGATGGGGTGGTGGGGATGGGGGTGGTCAGGGGTTGGGCTTTTCTTTTTTAAAAAAAAAAAAATTTCTTTTAATTTTTTGTTTTTTAATGATTAAAAAAATAATTGACCAATTAATGACTAACACGTAACACATAACTTACAAAAATAGGTCATCAACAAGTAATGGATTTGTGAAAGAAGGTGGGGTATAAAGGTTGAAGGTTGGATTTTTTTGTCAGATCGCCAAAAGGTTGGATTTTTAGTTTCCATTTTTCCAATTTGAATTAACCTAGAATAATAGGTTGAAATCGGAAAAGTTACCTCCAGTGAAGGTAATAGTACTCTAAGTGATACAATTAGAAGTTGAGTACTGTTTCGGGGTTTTTTGGAATCCCTCGGGATACTGGTCACGTTCTTCCAGGCAACGGGACTCGGACACCTGCAAAACACGAATCTCCGGTGGTCAAAGATTCGCCTCCGACGATCAAGTTAGTGACCGGAAACGGAATAAATGTAGAGAGAGAAAATAGAGAGAAGTCGGAGCTTTTAGTGCTCTTTTTGAGGGTATATCACAATCCACCCCTCCCATCATCAATGATTGGGGTATTTATAGGGGTGGGAATTTGTGCCCTTTAGGGTAAGTGACCTAGGAATGTGGGCTCTGATTGACTGCGCAATCAGGTTAGGACACGTGTCTTAAGGGGTCGCTGTTTTTTGCGGCATTCCTAGAAGTTTGGGCCTCCTGATGTAAGGAGGCCTAGCCTTTTACCCTTATGTCATTCTCTTTATTTCAGGTGCTCTATTGTTTGTTTTTTGTATGTGTCATCTTCCTATGGCGTATCTCTAAATTATTATTGTTCTCATCATCATTTATTAATTCTAGCCTCGTCCGAAGACGAAGATGATCAAAATTCTGATCACTCGAAACAATATTCTCAACATGATGTAAATTCTAATGATGAAGGTGATCATCCTTGTTCTTGGATATAGCTTGTAATTTTTTTTTTTTTAAAAAAAAATATTATTGTAATTTAATTTAAGAAAAATTCACTAAACATGATTTCTGTTTGACAGGTACTTGTGATACTAATTCAGTTTCGGTATTTCTTTGATTTTGTTTAGCCGTTTCACTATCTAGTCCCTCTTTTGTGTTTAACTTCTTATGATATGATCACTCAACCCTATGATGTTCTTGTGCTCATCCTAGACGTGTTAAATCTTATGATGGAGCATTCACTTTTCAACCCCATTTGTTCAGTTTTCAACCTCATTCACTCACTTTTAGTTGCATGTCTTTTCATCCTTGAGTAATATTGTTGCTGGCAAATATCGTGTGCAGCCCAAGTTTGACAGCTCGGGAGTTGCAAAGGCAGAGATTACATCTCAGATGAGCCTGAAGATAACATCTCAGATCATAAGTTTAATTGGGTTGATTATATTGACCGTGTGTATGCAGAGGCAGAGATTACTTGTGAGTTCCTCGTTTTAATTTACGTGTGTGTGAAATACTAGTTTTTTTCTATCTACTCTTTACTCCATTTTTTTGGTAATTGGTGCTTCAATTCTTTCAACTGATTGATCTTCTGTTTGGATTTTGACAGGTACTTGCCCTGCACCTACAAGTCCAGAGGTAAACATTAGTATGTTTGTCCGTATAAATTTAATAAATTGAGAGATAAAATCATTGTCCATTAGAGATAAATGAAGTAGATGTCATTGTGCATTATTGTACATTAAAATCCTGGTTTCGCCACTGATATTTTGCATGTCACGCAATAGTGAATTGTGTTATTTATACTGCCCTTATGCTGGATGTTTTAGTGCCAAGATGCACAGGGAGCAGCTTAGAAAGATGCAAGGTACGTAAATTTTTCCCAGTCACCCAAAAACAATAAAGATTGAAATTTTCGCATGTAGTTTTGACCCTGCTTATACTTAATTGTTTCCAGGCGATAGTAGAATTCGTTCTATTCTTCCGGCAGATTACCTTTGCAATTGCTAGGCCGGATCTAAGGCTACTTCTTGGATCTCTTGATGATCGTTTGTTGACATCGATTTTCTGTGTGAAGGTGTAGACCCAATGCACAATCATGTGAATTGAACTTTGCATATAATCATGTGAATTTTAGCCTCACATTTCTCACAACCTAAAACATATTTAAGGAACAATAGGGAATTATTCTACCTCCATTAACCTCCCTCTTTTGTACTACCTCCATTAATAGTTATCTGCAACTTTGGGTATTATTTGTGAGATATAAAATATTTCAATGTTGTAGATAACCATTAACGAAGGTAGTATAATTTTTTATAAAAACTTAAAAAAATTGTATTCAAACTAATTTTTTTTTATTGTTGATTATTAAAATATCAATGTTAACTTTGTTAAATTGTTTGATTTTGCATGTATGATATGATAATTGATTGATTTTGATTTCATAATTCTCAACTCAATTAGGGCATGTCAAATTATTGATCTAATTGATATTAATAATTTTAACTTTGTTCAATTTTCTTTTAATAATCCCAAGTTTGGATTATTCTGAAATAAACCCAACTTTGGGGTTTGTTTACTTTTTTCAATCTCAATTCCCAATAATTAGTTGAATGAGTTATTTTTTGTTTTTTTTTAAATGACACGTGTCAAGTTATTGATTAAAAAATAATAATACAAAAAATAAAACCCACCCAGCAAAACCCAAGTTAAACCTTACCCCAACCGCCCTAAAAGATATGGCCACAATGCCCCCACAGCCCCCCTCTCTCGCTGGCCCACCGACGATGGTGGGGAAGGGGTTGTAGGTGTTTTCGGGAGTAGGGGGCTTCAAGGGATTTCGAATGGATGGAGGGATTTAAAGGGAGTTTTGAGTGGTGCTTCGATGGAGGCAGAGAATCGAAAAAGAAGGGGATTGGGGGTGGGGGTGGTTTGCAACACCGGCGTGGGGGGTGAGGGAAGTGGGGGTTAGGGTGGTCCGAAAGGGATAAGGTTTTTTTTTTTTTTTTTAATAGCCTCTAAAATTGATATTATTCTAAATAATTATTTAAAATTTAAATTTATTCAAAGGAAAAAATTTGCTTAAATTTGCTTTAAGCAAATTCTTTCCTTTGAAAATTAAGACAAAGGTACGTACACCTAACATTAGCCGAGTAAGTTTTGGATGCATGGCACACATGTACGATGGCCCACACCACACTACATGTAATACGAATTTTAGCCGTTTGTAAGTCAAAGTCGTCTTTTGCCGCGGTAAAAAGTCAAAGTTAGTGGCTCTTGAATTTTCGACGCAGAAGCAAGAACGATGGACCCACAATAGAAATCACGTGTGATTACCCTTATTATGATCTGATTAATTATTGTAGGTCAAGTAAACGGCTAAACATGAAGAGAAACAGAGAGAGATTGAGAGAAAAGAAGAAGTTTATTTCATTGATAGAAAATTAGAAGTGAATCAATCAGTTTACATAGCCATACAACTCTCACATTTATATTATACGGAGTAGGAATGAAAAATTGTAAATAATCACCCCTCAAAGCATCTAAAATTAATTTTACCACCAGATTTTTACACTTAATCCATTCTTTTAAATAGAGAACATTGATTTTTGAGTCTAAACTTTATCTATTAAGAGATATCGAAAGTTTTTTTAGATTCAATTTGAGGTTAGAATTGATGAAAAAGAAAAATATATTGAAAATATTTCGTTTTGCATGTTGAAAATTACCTCGATTGACACGGATTTTTTTTATAACTAGTTAAGCGGTGGGTTTTTTTTTTTAATTTCTTTATTTTTCTTAAGGGTGGGTATTTAAAATAAACAAACAAAAGGGTGATAAAATCAATTTTAGGTGATATAACGGATTGTTATTTACAAGTTTTTCTGATAGAATTTACAAGCTTCAAACAAACTATAGAAAATTAGTTACTAAAGGAATCTAATTCGCTTATTGAATGGATTGAATAGCTAACTTAGAATGTCATTCACAAATTGCTAACTTTATTGGTGTAGCTGCATTATCATAAGAAGGTTCTTTCTCAAAGTGTAATAAGCAGACAACAAGACCTGTGACCAGTTTGCACTTTGCAGAGGCTTATATATACACCAATATAATAAATTGAATTCGAGTAGAATTGATTGAGTCTACAAATAACGTCATTACTTAGGGTCTGTTCCGATTGACTGAACTCAGCTGAACTGAACTGAATTGAACTGAGTTGAACTGAACTGAACTTATTAATTAGTGATTTTTAACTACGGATTAGTGATATTTGATTATTTATTGATTATTTATTACTATACATATGTGTATATACAAATGTACATATTAAAATATTTACGAAAAATATACTATATAATTATAATTATAAAATGTATGGAAAATATATTATAAAATGTATGGAAAATATATTAAAAACTTGAAACCTCTAAACATTTTAAACACATATACTATTTATTATTATTATTATTATTTATTGATGATTATTATTATTTATTGATTATTATTATTAGTATTATTATTTCAATTATTATTGTTATTATTATTATTATTATTATTGTTGTTGTTGTTGTTAATAATAATAATAATAATAATAATAATAATAATAATAATAATAATAATAATAATAATAATAATAATAATAATAATAATAATAATAATAATATTATTATTATTATTATTATTATTATTATTATTGTTTTTGTTGATGTTGTCGTTGTAATAAGAGCTTAAAAGAATGAAATTTGGCTTTATATCATTAGCAATATCATTAGAAATAAATTAAGAGCTGAGTTGAACTGAACTGAACTGAACTGAACTGAACTGAACTGAACTGAGCTGAGCTGAACTGAACTGAACTGAACTGAACTGAACTGAACTGAATTGAACTGAACTGAACTGAGCTGAACTGAACTGAACTAAACTGAACTGAATTTCAACGGAACAGAACAGGCCCTTAGCTATGGTTGGATTAACTAATCAAGTAGCTAATAAATTAAGAAAGGAGACAAACAAAAGTTCACACATCAATACATCATCCTAATATTCCTAACTATACCAATGACTAAAGGATGTTTCTACAGCGGTCGTATAAAATATGACTACCTTATTATTTTAATGATAAATAATATGAGCGATCCATTTTTTCTAGTTATAAATTGGACACAATTAGTGTAGGATTCAAATAACTCTAATCTAGTTATTTTAACAATGTGCGTGCAAAGAGTATAGTACGTGGAGAACTAAAGCAAGTAATTAATTTACCAAACCATGTGCTTATAGTGTGCTTAGGTATAGACTAATCCCAAAAATGAAAAGGTTTTGCCTACCCATTTTTGACTAGTGATCACTTTATTGTTGTGTCAATATATATTGGGAAAGCTATTATTGTTTTAAATTCAATGGATCTTAGAATATTATACATTTATACGTAGTATTTTATTCCAATCAAATACAGGTATTATCTTCGTTGAATATATATATATATATATATATATATATATATATATATATATATATATATATATATATATATATATATATATATATATAAAACCAGTTATTTTTGCTCATAATTATTTTCGTTGTATTAAAGTTTCCTTGAATTGTCCATTTGCTGTATATTTGAAGATGACATTTTTAAAAAATATATAATTCTAGAAGAATAATGTTTGATAGTTTTTATTTATTTTTTTTATTCTAGAAGAATTTATTCACTAACTTTATAATACGATCCTTTGAAGTTATTTTCCACCCACCTTTATATAAAAAATCTCATTCCACCCAAATTTTTGTACTTGAATATAAATTTCTTCACCTATTTATAGACTTTTTGTTTTAGTAATATTGGATAAAGGATGAAGATTCACATTTCAAACCACATTTTATATGTACTCCGTATATTATTATGATGCAAATCTAACAAGATTTTACATAACTAATTAACTATATTTTTCTTATTATATAAATTATAATATTTGGTCAAACAAGAATGATGAATAGGGGTTAAATTTAATTATTGCAATATTACTAGTATGAATGAATTTTTCATTCAAATCAATAAAATTCATTACGAAGTACTTTTATGTATGTTTAATAACCATATCTCGTTATATTGTCATGATATTTATCTTTAATCAAACTAATCAACACAGTTTTATTATTTTATTTTTGAAACTTGTGAAATAATCTCTCCGTTTTTAAATACTTGCTCCATTTCTCCATACGCGGAGTTTAAGGAGAAAATTGGAGAAAGTAATAAAATATGGAGGTAGTGGGGTTGTTGAAAAAATAAAAAATTGTAAAAAAAACCAAAAGTAGTGGAGAGAATATAAAATTAATATTATTGGGTCTACTTGATGAGAGAAATTAATTAAATATTATAAAAGTTTTCCAAATAACGAAATGGAGCAAGTATTTAAAAACGGAGGAAGTATGCAAATAAAACTTTATTTTGGGACAAAGAAATTGACATATCACCAATTTTAAGTACAAGTGATTGAAATAATGTGTAACCAAATCATCTGCACAAGTTAATAGTACTGTAGCATCTAATCTCTACAATCTTAGACTTTTCAACACATAATTATATATCATTATCTGAAATAAAGTTTGATATTATCTAGAAACACATGGACCAGTTTTTTTTTTTTGGAGAGAACACATGGACCAGTTTAGCCGTGCAGTATTTTATACATTTCATTAATCTATTATTAATGATTAAATGACCAAAGATGCTCTTAATTACATTGACTTTGACTTACAAATAATGATGTTCTAGCCAACCCATGATACAATAAAATCATACAATAAGCCAAATGAAACACACCAAATCTGAACACAAAAAAACGTTGAAAAAATGACCACAATGTCCCTTTTTTCTCTCTCTCCTGATTTCCCACTTCTAAATTCCAAGCTCCCCTGTTTCTGAAAACAGAGCAACCAAAAACAGAGCAAAAACCACCCAATTCAACATACAAAATGACAAAATTACCCTTTACACCCACCAAATTCCTCCCCCATTTACCCTTTATCATCCTCACCCTCCTACCCTTTTTGGTAATTTCACAATCTGATCAACAAACTCTGTTGAAAATCAAGGAGCAATGGAACAGTCAACCACCAACAGACTCATGGACTTCCAATACATCCTATTGTCATTGGCCTGGAATCATTTGCACCGGTGGCGAAACCGTAACCGGAATCTCCCTTAATAGCCAAAACATCGAAGGCGAAATCCCTCCATCCATTTGTGATCTCAAGAATCTCACTCTTCTTGATCTTGGAAACAATAGTATCATAGGTAACTTTCCTACATTTTTATACAATTGTACCAAGCTCCAAACTTTAGACCTTTCTCAAAATTACTTTGTTGGGAAATTACCAAATGACATAAATAAGCTTTCTCCTAATCTTCAATACTTAATCATTAGTGCTAACAATTTCACTGATGATATTCCATCTTCATTAGCCCAACTTAAAGGGTTGATCAAATTGTACTTTGATTCCAATTTATTTAATGGAACATTCCCTTTTGAGTTGGGACAGTTGGAAAATCTTGAGGAATTGGTGTTAGCTTTCAACCCTTTTTCCCCTAACAAATTACCCAAAGAATTTGGGATGCTTAAGAAGTTGAAGTTCCTTTGGATGACTCAATGCAATTTGATTGGTGAAATTCCAATTGATTTTGCCAAATTAACTAGCCTTGAGCATTTAGACTTGGTTCAGAATAGCTTAGTGGGTGAGATTCCAAGTGGGTTGTTCTTGCTCAAAAACTTGACTAAATTGTATTTGTACAAGAATATGATTTCTGGGGGATTGCCAACTTCAATCGAATCGTTGAATTTGGTGGAATTGGATTTATCACAGAATAACATGACAGGAGTAATCCCTGATGATATTGGTAAACTGCAAAGTTTAACAGTATTGAATTTGTTTCAGAACCAATTTCATGGACCAATACCATCAAGTATTAGTCTACTTCCTATGCTGACAACACTGAGGGTGTTCATGAACCGGTTATCTGGCACCCTTCCACCGGAAATGGGCCTACACTCGGAACTCACGAGTTTCGAGTTGTCTGACAATGCATTCACAGGCCAACTGCCTGAGAATCTGTGCTACAATGGGAAGTTGATGGGTGTTGTGGCATTCAACAACTATCTAAACGGAACGATTCCAAGATCTCTCGGCCAATGCAGCTCTTTATACGTAGTTGAAGTGTACAACAACAGCTTGACAGGAAAAGTTCCTGCAGGGTTATGGACTTTGCCTAATATGATGTTTATGCAGCTTAGCAACAACCAATTTTCAGGCCGACTTCCTGAGAAATTGGCTGCAAATGTGAGCCTAGTCGAGCTGAGCAACAACAAGTTTTCTGGCAAGCTTCCATCAAGTAGTGTAAGCACTTGGAAGAGTTTACAGAAGTTTAAAGCAAGCAACAATATGATCACAGGTACTGTTCCATTGGAATTAACTAGCCTTTCGAATCTTAACACTCTCTTGCTTGATGGGAATCAACTGTCAGGTGAACTTCCTTCTGAAATTATCTCATGGCAGAGTTTAAATAGCTTAGATCTCTCTAATAACGAGCTTTCTGGTTCGATTCCTTCTGTTCTTGGTTCTTTACCTGTTCTTACTTATCTTAATCTGTCTAATAATCAATTTTCCGGCCAAATTCCACCTGAAGTTGGTCAATTAAGGCTTACTTCACTCGACTTTTCCTCGAATAAGCTTACTGGGGATATCCCAGTTGGGCTTGATAATAGAGCATATGAGGATAGTTTTTTGAATACTCACTTATGCTCAAATACCGGATTCTTAGACCTTCCAAAATGCTCGAAACATCAGAGAAAACCAAACCTGTCATCCAAATATCTTGTCTTGATCATAGTCCTTGCAATGGTTGCCTTGCTAGCAACTTTATACTACACTGTGTTCATTATCAAGGAAATCCGACAAAGAAAGAACAAGGAAGAACTTGATAGAAGTACATGGAAATTGACCTCTTTTCATAGACTGCAGTTCACAGAAGAGAAAATTATTGCCAGCTTAACTGAGAAACATGTGATTGGGTCTGGAGGATCAGGGACAGTTTACTGGATCCCCGTTAACCAATCAGGAGATGCTGTCGCGGTTAAGAGGATATGGAGCAACAAGAAGATGAGCAACAACTTGGATAAAGAGTTCCTTGCTGAGGTTCAGGTTCTCGGTACTATAAGGCATACCAACATAGTGAAGTTACTTTGCTGTATTTCAAGTGAAAACTCGAAATTGCTCGTGTATGAGTATATGCAGAATCAAAGCTTGGATAAATGGATCCGTGAAAGTAATAGGCAAACTGTTACATCAAAGAATGGCTCGGTTAATCAAGCAGTTTTGGACTGGCCTACTAGATTGAAAATTGCTATTGATGCTGCTCAAGGATTAAGTTATATGCACAATGATTGTTCACCTCCTATAGTTCACAGGGATGTAAAATCCAGTAACATTCTGCTAGACTCAAAATTTAATGCCAAAATCGCTGATTTCGGGCTAGCAAAGATACTGGCTAAACCAGGAGGAGAGCCTTACACAGTGTCTGCTGTTGCTGGATCATTTGGTTACATGGCTCCAGGTAAAATTTCTACCCCAATCTTACACAATAAAATTTCGAAAAAAATTCTCTGACAATGTACTTATATTATATCAACTATGATTAGCTGACAGTTTGCTATCTGAATGTGTATTGCAGAATACTGTTACACAACCAAGGTGAATGAGAAGATTGATATCTACAGCTTCGGGGTAGTACTACTCGAGCTAGTGACAGGAAAAGAACCCCACATCGGAGATGAGCACACAAACCTTGCAGAGTGGGCATTGAGGCATTACAACGAAGAACATCCAATCAAAGATGTCTTCGATAAGAAAGTGCAAGAGCCTTGTTATATAGAAGAGATGACCAATGTGTTTAAGATAGGGTTGATGTGCACCAGTGCATCACCAGCCTTTAGGCCATCTATGAAGGAAGTTTTGCAGATGCTTCAACGACATATCAGTCTAGACGGTATTGGAGTAGCAAAGACAAAGAATGATCGCGATGTTTCCCCTCTTTTTGGGGGTGAAAATTACATCTCTAGTTGTAAGAATAGCAAGAGGACAGTAGAAGATAGCTATGACATGGTTTGAGTTTGTAACTATAGTGCGAGTTTGCTGTATTTCTGTAGGATAACCAATTATACTGTAAATGTAGGACAACAGTTTCACATATATACGAGTAGTTACAGTTATCATTGTAGTCTCTTGGGAGGTTTTTATCAAAGCCTGCATTCTGTTCTCAGCTACCATTGTGGCGAAACAAGTTATATAATACGAAGTAATTAGAAATACTCCATTTTTCATGTATGTGCAACTATCAAGCAAAATATAGGAATAAAAGTTTCGATCTTTAATTATGTAAATGAAGAAAAGCCATACTATTATTGCAAAAATTAACAATGGTAATTTAGCAAGACATTCCAGCATGCCACGAGTCATTTTATGTTACCAATTGGTTGTTGGTGTACTGGTGATTAGGACTACACTTGGTAGGGAGCACTCATGTTCGATCCCCCGCAACTAGGGCTGTACACCGGTCCAAAACCGAACCGGACCTGAACTGGACCTGAATGGACCGGGACCTGAATCCTTGATTTTTAAGGACCGGAGACCGGACTTGAATCAACAGGTCTGGTTCCGGTCCAGACCTGAAAATTCAGGTCCGGTCCGAGTTTGGACCTGAATAGACCTGATTATTATTTTTTTAAAATAATATGAAAGTGTTGACCTATTTAGACCTGTTTGGACCTATTTAGACCTGTTTGGACCTGTTATGAACTGGTTATGGACCTGTTTGGACCTATTTAGACCTTATTGGACCTGTTTAGACCTGTTTGGACCTGTTATGGACATGTTTGGACTTGTTCATGGACCTATTTAGACTTATTAAATAAAAAAAGTAGTTTTACCGATTTCAGGTCCGGACCTGAAATTTTCGGGTTTTACTCGGACCGGACCTGAAACCCGAAATCCTTGAATTTTAAGGACCTGGACCAGACCTGAATCTACAGGTCCGGGTCAGGTTCGGTCCCAACAGGTCCGGTTCAGGTCGGTTTTCAAGTTCGGGCCAGTTTTTGTACACCCCTACCCGCAACAACAATCGGGAGAGGATTGGAACCTAACCACCCAGAACTGATCCCCGAATCCGGATTAGCCTAAAGGGTGAATCGGGTAGAACACAAAAAAAAAAAAGACTCATTTTATTTTATTTTATTTTTTTTTTAAAACACGAGTCATTTTATGTCAATCAAAATCGCTTTAATTTAATATTCCTTTCACTTATATAACAATGTCTAATGAAAAAACAATACAATCATAAGCAAAGAAAAAAGTTTGTATGAAAAATTATAAATCAAACGATTGTAAAATGGAAAATTCTCTCGAAAAAACCTTTGTGAACCCTAATGGAAACCAATATTCTACTGAAGAAAGAGATCAATTAGATCGATCTAATAAGAAACCTAAACGTAAAATCAATCATATAATCATCAACCAAGGAAGCCAAGAAGATGTAACGATGGCTGAGGGAGATGAAAATCTACAGGGAATTGTGAGAACTGAGAGTGGAGTAAACAATGGACGAAATGGCATGAATCCTCAAGCCATAGGAGTTTCTTTTCGTGATCTTATGGAAAGAGACACATATGGTGGTCAAGCTGCTCATGCTCATGCAATTCTTGTAGATGATGATGAAGAGGATGATATTTCGGATGATGAAGAGGTTCCAGAGGAAATTCTCAAGGATGAGAGATGCCCTGTAATCAGACTTTCGAAGGAAGAAAAGAAGCAATTGAGGAAAACCTAGAAAACATCCTTGATTATTAAGATGTTTAGTGGTAAATTAGGGTATATGGGAATGATGCGCAGACTTAAGAAAAAATGGAACATTAAGGGGGATCTCACTCTGACTGATATAGGATGTAATTACTATATAGCAAGATTCACTAATCATGCTGATTATAATTATGTTTTAACTCAGGGTCCTTGGATGCTTGATGATCATTATTTAACTATAAGGAAGTGGATTCCCAATTTTGTTCCTGACGATGCTCCAATGAAGGTTCTGACTGCTTGGGTGCGCATTCCTAATCTACCAGTGGAATACTTTGATGTCGGCTTCTTGAACAAGGTTGGGTCTAAAATTGGGAAGGTGCTTCGAGTGGACAAAACTACTGCTCAAGCAGAGCGAGGACAATTCACAAGATAGAGTGTGGAAATTGATCTAACCAAGCCTTTATTTTCTAAATTTTGGCTAAAGGGGAGCATTTGGAGGGTGCAGTATGAAGGCATACGAATGGTGTGTTTTAAATGTGGAAAACTTGGACATGTTGAAGATGAGTGCCCTATGCTAAAAATGAGAGGAGATGATGCTTCGATGGTAGTCCATGAGAATCCTTTACACCACCAGGAGGCAAAGCCGGAAGAAAACGAGAGTTTTGGATCATGGATGTTAGTCAAAAAACCAACTCGAAAACGCAATCCTAGGCAAGAGAAGGTGGCTACTGGTGGTGCTGGAGGCAATGAGGTGGCGACCAAAGTGGTTGACAAGTCAAATCTTCGTGCAAGAATTGGGGAAGGAAAATCAGGGGATAATCAGGTTGTTAGAGAGAATAAAGGGGAGGGATCAAGGTTTGCAATCTTGATTGATCAGGAAGAGGAAAATAATGAGATAAACATGGAAACAGATAAAAATTTGGAAAATTTTGTTCCAAGTTCAAAAGATAATGATGGAAATTTTGTGGAAACAATTAATTTGGGAGAGGATTCTCAGCAATTTAGGAGACAAATTGATTTTGTTCCCAAATTCCGTGTAAACAATATCTCAAAGGCAAAAAAGGGCCCCTCGAAGACATTTCAAGAAAAGAAAAAACCAACTACCCAGAAAGAGATAAATCCCTTGAAAGATATCACCAATGACTTGGAATTTCTAAATTCCAAAATTAATTCAGTTGAATTGCAGGGTAGGCAAGAGGTTGACTTTAACTTGGAAGCTAATAAACAAAGCAAACCCCAAGCCAAAACCACGACTGAAGAAGCACAAGACCAAGCCAGTGAGAAGCAGTCACAAAGCATCACTCATGTTTCGAACACCCTTCTCGATTACCCTTCAAGTCCTAACGGACAGAATTATGTGTGTAGGAGCTCCGATGGAGCAACCCTACCTTGTGAAGATGTGCCCCCTGATTCATATTATGGAGGTACAAGTGGAGTCAATGTTACCACCAATCTCGACCCCCCCGGAGTTGGTGGTCACAATGAAAATTCCCAATGAGTTCCAGCGTCTGTTGATGCTCTTAAGACAAGCGTATGTGTCATCTTTACCTTCAATTCCAGTGTCCATGGAAGATAGTATTCCAAATTTTAATCCGGACCCTTTGCCTGTGACTTGTATGATTTGGAATGTACAAGGAGCGGGAAGCAAGAGTTTTATCAGTATTTTGAGAGAGTTAATCAAAATGAATAAACCGGATGTTTTAGCGTTGGTGGAAACTCACATGGGTGGAGATTAAGCAGTAAAGATAGCTTCGATAATTGGCTATGATGGTCACGTTAGGGTGGATGCGGTTGGATTTAGTGGAGGGATATGGGTCTATTGGAAACAAGCTCTGGTTACAGTCAACCCAATCTTCCAGCATCAACAACACATAACTATGGAAATCACTCGTGTAGGTGCAATCCCTTGGTACTTCTCAGCTATATATGCAAGCCCGGATCCTTCCAAGAGACAGGAGTTGTGGAAAAAGCTTACAGACTTTGCATCTAGCCATAATAAACCATGGTTAATGGCAGGGGATTTCAATGATACAAGATACCCTTCCGAAAGGAATAAATCTTGTAGTGAAACAAATAGGAGATCGAGAATGTTTAATGATTGGGTGGAAGAGATGGAATTATTGGAAGTAGAATTTGTGGGTGCGGCTCATACTTGGGCAAGAGGAAAAAGCATGGAAACTAGGCAAAGTGCGAGACTTGACCGAGCATTATGTAATGGAGACTGGGCAATGAGATTTGATAAAGCATCTATGAGACATCTTTCGGCAGTCCACTCAGATCATTGTCCGTTGTTTATTTTGCCTAATGGGTTTGTACCCATGCAATCTTTTCATATACCTTTTCGGTTCCAAGCAACTTGGCTGACCCATGAGAATTTTAAAGACTTTGTAGCGGAGAAATGGGATAAACATGGCAATTTAATCAACTCTCTAGCCAAACTATCAACTGATTTGCAGCATTGGAACAGGGATGTTTTTGGGAATATCTTTAAACAAAAGAGACACTTGCTTGCTCGCATAGCAGTTGTGCAAAAAAAGATGGTTGTGCAAGTTGATAGAGGACTCATTAAATTGGAAGCGAAGCTGAGACGTGATCTGGATGAAATCTTAGAAAGAGAGGAAGTGTTTTGGTATCAAAAGGCTCGAATTGAGTGGTTGAAAAACGGAGACCGCAACACAACTTTTTTCCAGTTGAGTACGGTGGTGAAGAGATGGAAAAATAAAATCGTGTCTCTGAAAAGGGAAGATGATGTGTGGTTACATGATAAAAATGAAATTAAGGATCATATTATGAATTATTACTCCAAACTCTTTACAGAGGAAGGAGAACCTTCACATTATGACCTTCCGCAAGACATTTTCCCAGAACTTTCCAATGAAGACTGGAGATCTTTAACCTTGCCATATTCGAGAATGGAAGTTGAGAGAGCTGTTAAGGAGATGAGAGCATTAAAAGCGCCGGGGCCGGATGGATACCAAACCCTCTTCTATCAAAAAAATTGGGAGGTGGTTGCGGATACGGTGTATGATACGATTATTCCCATATTGGAAGGAAAAGGTATGCCAGACCACTTGAATGAGACATTTATTGCCCTCATACCAAAAATTGAGCAGCCGGAATTAGCTTCCCAATTTTGGCCTCTTGGGTTGTGCAATGTAGCGTATAAGGTGGTGACTAAAGTGTTAGTCAACCGATTAAAACCTGTTCTTCCGCATGTGATTTCAAACACCCAAGCAAGCTTTATTCCGGGGCGCCAAATAACAGACAATATTGTGATAGTTCAGGAAGTTATTCACACAATGAAGAGAAAGAAAGGGGAAAAGGGATATATGGCTATTAAAATCGATTTCGAAAAAGCGTATGATCGATTAAGGTGGTCGTTTATCCGGGATACTATGATTCAAATGAATTTGCCTATTTTCATGATTGAACTAATAATGGAATGTGTGACTACGGCTTCTCTTCAAGTGCTTTGGAATGGGGAGCCATCAAAGAGTTTCAAGCCGAGTAGAGGGAT